GGGAGAGAGAGTCCCCCATGCAGGACTGCTCTACCCTGAACTTCCCTCCCCACAGGCACTCTTTAGAGAGAGCAGGGGCAGGGAGGGGTACGGAAGCTCCTCTCCTCCCCAGTTTGTACGGGGACGGGAGAGAGAGTCCCCCATGCAGGACTGCTCTACCCTGAACTTCCCTCCCCACAGGCACTCTTTAGAGAGAGCAGGGGCAGGGAGGGGTACGGAAGCTCCTCTCCTCCCCAGTTTGTACGGGAACATCCTGTACATGGGCACTCAGAGTTCTATAAAATGCTTAGACCTACTGCTGTTAATTTTAGGTGGGAGAAGCAAAGGAGGCTACATGTTTATATTTATCAGATGAGTAGCCATGTTAGTCTGAATCTGCAAAAACAACGAGGAGTCCTGTGGCACCTGCTAGGACTAACAGATTTATTGCAGCACAAGCTTTCAAGGGCGATGACTGCAGAAGCTTGGGGCCAAGTGAGAAACACCTCTCCATGGCCATGCAGCTCCAGGGGGCACAGCTGGGAGAGGGATGCATGTCCCCTTGCTGGGACAGGTCCAGCTTCTTCTGCTCCCTGCTCTCCTCAGCCAGAGTGAGGATTTCAGCATATTATATACTGTCCCCTCCCTGATGAAGGGATGTTCCTGTATGAACTGGGAGGGAGGAGCTTCAGCCCTCCCTCCCCACACGCTCTAAAGGGCGCCTGGTGGGAGAGAAGCTCAGGGCAGGGGTAGTCCCACACACGGGGCACATCCCCTGCTAGCCCCTTTCACCTCCCTGTGATTGTCTCTTTTCTGTGTGGTTTTCATATAATCGTAGAGGACTAGAATGGGAAAGGTCATCAAGTCCAGTTTCCTACATCAACAGATCATGGTTTGATGAGAAGCAATCCCATTCCAGGCAGATCCCATTTTCCTGGCACAACCAAACCCATAAGTTGAGATAAGAAGAAGCTGCATACTGAATGTGGTGGTCCTAGCTATTACCGTTTAGGACAGGGCTAGGCAAGATTCAGCCGGGGCCCAAATCCAGCCCACAGACTACATCTCGATGCTTTCTGTTTGCATTCTGTTACCCCCGCCACCAACTTTCCAGGCATTGGTTCAGACAGCAGAATTCTATTTAAATGGCTTATGGCTCCCAGCTGCAATGCCACCTTGGCAGGGGCTGGAGCCATGAGCCCTTTAAATAGCTGCAGCAACTCTGGGAAGCTGCCAGGCAGCACCGTAGCAACTGAACCAGGAGCCCTTTGCTGTGTTTTTAATTCAAAGCCTCTGTCCCCAGACAACTCTGGAGGGGAGGCAAATCCCCAGCCCTGCCACTTTTTGCTCCAAACCCAGTCACTCTCGCCCATTACCACATATCAACATTTATTAAGTCACCTCCCCCCCTGCAAAAATTATTGCCCACCCCAGGTTTAGGAGGGGTTCTTGAACAGACAGACTCAGCACACACAGACAAACTCTCTCATATATATAGTTGTTATATGCCACACAGAGCTATTTCTCCCTCCCTTCCTTTTTCACCCCAAAATTATGCTAGGAGTTAATCGAAGGTATAATTTTTCCAGATCAACAGTAATGATGATAATGGGGTAGTGATGGGAAACTGGAGTGGAAATTACAGTGGTGGAGCAAGTCCCAGCAGTTGGAACGGAAGCGTTGAAATCCTGAGAAAGTGGAAGGCTGCGGGATTTAAACCTGTCAAATACGGACAATGCTGGGTTTTTGCATCAGTGCTGACCACAGGTACATTTCATTAACACAGATAAGTTTGTTGCACAGGCTCCATTATGGGAAAGCACTGGTAATATCAGCTCAGGATAGTTACCTAGAAACTTTCTCTCTCAGAAATACAGGCTTTTCATTATTTCTTTTGGGTTTTTTAGTGCTCAGATGTCTGGGGATTCCTACTCGCATGATTTCAAATTTCAACTCTGCCCACGATACAGATAAAAACCTGAGTGTGGATGAATATTATGATGAATCTGGAAATCCTCTGAGAATGGGAGGTGACAGCGTCTGGTAACCATCTACTTTTCTAAATATCTATAGTATAAAGCCTTGACCTCACTGAGGCCCATAGATGCACATCAAGAACATAATTTGACCCCATGCATTGATAAAAGAGGTACAGACTCTTCAACCCAAGTTTCCACATTAGGCCCATTGTTAAAGCAGCAACTCAAAACAGGACAAACACTGTTACATACCAAAACAATAAAAAGTATGGAAACCACTGGCTAGTAACCCCAGTCTTCACACCCAAATATTATGGTTTCTCTGTCCAATAAGCAAAATAATTCTCAATGATCACCTCTATTTCAGCTACATGCGCATCATTTAGAACAGCGTCTCATTTAACAAATAGTTATGACAGTCGCTTGAAGCTGTTAGAAAGAGTTCTAACAATATGACAGCTACAGAACCAAAGTCAATATCAGAATCTAAGGTGTCAACTTGGAAATACCGCGCAATTTCACTGGGTTAGTTTGGGTCGAGACTGTTAAAAGTGTGCACCTAAAGATGAGACATTCTAGCACAGGCTTCCTTTTCAAAGGTACAACTTTCCTCAGATCATATCACAGGGGTGAAATTCTAAGAATTACACCCATAATTAAAAGGTAGTTGCATAAATTAAGGCACACATTTAGCTTGAGATTGTGGTAGAAAGAGAGAGCACTAAGAGTCTTTCACATTTTGCTTTGCCCTCTCCCTTCCCTGAGGAAGGAACAATCAGTTTCACACATACAGAAGCGACTGTCTGGGATGGAGTATGGCAGAAAGGGATCTAGGGGTTTAATGGACCACAAGCTAAATATGAGTCAACAGTGTGATGCTGTTGCAAAAAAGCAAACATGATTCTGGGATACATTAACAGGAGTGTTGTGAGCAAGACACGAGAAGTCATTCTTCCACTCTACTCTGCGCTGGTTAGGCCTCAGTTGGAGTATTGTGTCCAATTCTGGGCACCACATTTCAAGAAAGTTGTGGAGAAATTAGAGAGGGTCCAGAGAAGAGCAACAAGAATGATGAAATGTCTAGAGAACATGACCTATGAAGGAAGGCTGAAAGAACTGGGTTTGTTTAGTTTAGAAAAGAGAAGATTGAGGGGGGACATGATAGCAGTTTTCAAGTATTTAAAAGGGTGTCATGAGGAGGGAGAAAACTTGTTCATCTTGGCCTTTGAGGATAGAACAAGCAGCAATGGGCTTAACTGCAGCAAGGGAGGTTTAGGTTGGACATTAGGAAAAAGTTCCTAACTGTCAGGGTAGTTAAACACTGGAATAAATTGCCCAGGGAGGTTGTGGAATCCCCATCTCTGGAGATATTTAAGAGCAGGTTAGATAAATGTCTATCGGGGATGGTCTAGACAGTATTTGGTCCTGCCATGGGAGTAGGGGACAGGACTCGATGACCTCTCCCGGGTGCTCCATCCTAAGGGAAGGCGAGTTTCTGGATCAACCTACTGGCGCTCCAAGTTCACAGGATGAGGCCAGAACACTGCTGCCCTCATGTAATCCAGGGCAGCCACAAATTACTTTTGGGGCTGCCTATAGCCGAACAAACCTTAGAACTGCCCTAAAGCTGCAGTGAGTTGTGTCCTGGGCTAAACTGGCCCCTGGCTCCAGGAACCTCAAAGCAACATGAATCTGTGACCCTCAAACTCTCTGCACGACGGTCACACACTAGCAGTTTGCGTTATTCTTGTCACTAGGAATTTCCATGTCTGGAATGAAAGCTGGTTTACCCGAAAGGACCTCGGATCCTCCTACAACGGATGGCAAATTCTGGATGCGACCCCCCAGGAGAGAAGCGCAGGTACAAGGACTTTAGTTCGGGAAAATGTTTAAGCAGGGGGACAACAGTGACTCTCAGGGCATGGTGGGGAGGGTGAGGAATTCAGCTGTGGCTGAGCATCATTTCTCTCCCTGACCAAACAGGGGAGGGAATGAGCACAAGCATCCTTTTCCAGCATTAAAACCTCAGCTTATTCCTTTGTGCCAAGCACAGAATAGCCCTCCCTGTGCAGCTTCTACACAGACATCTGCAGCTATTGCAAATTAGACAAACTGGACTGATCATGAAAACAAATAAATACAAAGACTATGCTGCTGACTACACTGGATGACTTTAAGGGAGAGGGCTGGAGCGGGGGAGGGGGGCAGGGCTGTATCAGTCAGGGGCCCTTGACACACAATTTAGGTTTAATGTGCTCTGCTTACGTTGGATTCGAGTGTTTTCACTAGTCTAGCCCTGATTGATTTCCTTTGCCTTGATACTCCAGGAATATTCCAGTGTGGTCCTGCCTCACTTACGGCCATCAAAGAAGGAGATGTAGACCTGGACTATGACGCTCCATTTATATTTGCTGAGGTGAATGCAGACCGGATCACCTGGAGATACAACCCCACAACTAGAGAGACAAAGCCTATCTCCTCTGACACCATGTCAATTGGCAAGTTCACCAGCACCAAGGCAGTAGGCAGTTACGCCCGTGTAGATGTCACTAATGATTACAAATATGAAGAAGGTAATGAAAAATCCTCTGTTTCTTGATGGTAGCACAAAAGTTCTTTCTTAAACTGCTAGAAATATTGTAATGGGAGCCAGTTCCTGTGCGAGTTCTACAGGCGCGAGGACACAAGTTACAATAGTGGGTCCTACAGTGCTAAGAAAAGGAGGAAGAGGGAACGTGTAGCATTGTGCCATGCCATTCCTGATATGTCAGCTCTCACTCTTGAGCCCTGGGTAACGTGGCTCTAAATTGCGTTGTGCAAAACATGCCTTGTCTGATCTGTCCAAGATAACATAGGCTGCTTGAATTGCATTGGCTACTCTACAGCACAGTGATTGGGTTTCTATATAGTACCCCTACGGCCTAAGACAGACAGATAGCAAACTCCACAGGAAAGGCAACCTTTTCAAAGGGGCCTCCCCGGCCTCTAAATTCGCACTTCAGTTTTGTCAGTGGGAACACCTGTCAGCTAAGTTTGCATGTGCACATGGTAATATGACACAAAGACTGCTATTAAAAATGTGCAAAGAGGGCAAGAGCTGATAAACCACAACTTCGTATTACATAATAAACTTAAAATACAACACATGGTCTATATCTACATGTTTTGTGAGTCTATAAAGTGCTACCAGACCATGTGTTGTTTTTTAAGTTTATCCTGTACAGACTAAGTTGGCTACCCCCTGCAGCTTCGTACTACAGTAGATCCTGTTCAATTAAACTGCAGACCTGTCAACTCCATCAGCTTAGAGAGCTGCCTCATGTTGCAGAAAAGAGTGAAGCAAGTAGGAATTTTATTTACCCCTTGTATAGGCTCAGCAAAAGTGGGATGAGGGGAGGTTTGGGAATTATGGTTTAGATCCTCTTTGGAATTAATAGGTTTAGTGCTCTCAAGTATAAGGAGAACAACTCTGAAATGGATGTGTGCCTATCACTCATCCAACAGGTTAACAGTAGCTGCTGTAAACAATTGTTCTTTCTCCCTTGGAGCCCACCACACTATGCTACCCAGGTGAATGCCCTATTGCCTAGGCCACGCCAGATCCCATCCCACCACCTTACCTTCAGGACATCCTTTATCCTACCTTCCTAATGCCAGAGCATACACCATCCCTGGGGAAACTGGCATTTGCCTGGGAGCGCAGGGTGATGGGTTTGAGTCCTGTCCCCACCCCCTTCTGCCCACCCAGGCAGCCACGGGAGGGAAGGGGGGACAACACCAGTTCCTTGGAGAGGGCTCCTGCATTAGTAAAGCAGCATAAGGGATGCCCTGGAGGTGGGTGGGTTCTGGAGGCAGACCTGCCAGGGCCCTTCATCCTGCTGCGTAAGTTAAAGGTGGAGACACAAGGTGGTTGTGTCTCTACCTACCCTGGGCCCAACAAAGGCAAAACCACATTCCATACACCATTTAAAAATGGGCACATTTTAAATAGGCTGTTGATTATTATTTTCATGGTTCTCTCTCTCTCTCTCTCTCATATAGGCTCTCAGAAGGAAAGAGAGGTGTATCAAAAGGCTCGCACAAAACTGGGCCGAGTATATGGTTTTGCTGCCACAGCAGAGAGGCATCCAGAATTTGATCAAAAGCCTGATATCTCAGGGACATTCAAGGTAGATGGAGCCTTAGAGATTGGCAAAGATGTCAGACTAAGCTTGGTTCTCAGAAATTTGACCTCAGAGGCTAAAGATATAAAGGCAAATATGACTGCTTGGAGCATCGTGTACACCAGGAAGCCAATTCATGAGGTGTGGAAGGACTCCTTATCAGCTACTCTTGCTTCTGAAGAAGGTAATTTTTCATATAATTGTGTCGAAGAAACAAATCTGTTGTAACTGAATGGAAACTGAGGGGATGAAGACATCTACTATGAATGTTGCAATGAGAGAGGGTCTTAAATTGCATCCGAAACCGAAAAACGTAACAAAACAAAACATTTCCACTATGGTTCCCAAACACTTCTCACATAGGAGGGGAAAAACATACCAGAAATGAAGAGATGGTGAGAAATGAAGAGATGGTGGCAATAACCAGAATACACAGTTATCAGAAGCTAGCATGGAAAAGAGAAGAAAAGCAAAAAAGCAAAGTAAATTAATGGAGGACATAGGGGCTTTGGAAAATTTACTTGGACATTTATAAAGCCAGGCAGCAGCATCACAGTAGAAGGGAGAAAACTGGTTCACTGGGAGAGAATGAAATTATTGCAGATTCAAATGTGGCAGAAATGCCCTGTTTAACCTATATCTTTGAGTAAAAGAAACCTGAATTATTAGTAGGGAAGGAAAATACTGTAAAATACCTCAGCATAAAGAGTACACAGAGGAAGGCTTGGGAACATGCAGATTACCCCACCTCCCCACGGACAAGTTATATGCATCTTAGAGAGTTGGTCCTGTAAGGATTTTTCCATGAAATTTAAATAGCATTTCATTAACTAGTAGGTGTCTAAGTGGCAAGTTATCTGCCTTATCACCTACCAAGAAAAATGAGGAGGAAGAAAGGGACAGGGAATGAGAAAGAAGGGATGCTGAAAAGAAGCAACTGACTCCTGTATTTAGCAACACAGAAGGAAGTGGGAGAAAAGCAGGGAAAACTTATGTCCTGTCTAGAACCAGATACGAGGTCACAGGAAAATACTCGCTTGAGGTGAATGACAGTTGTTAGACTTTTGCAAGTGCATCTCATCCTATTTATTTTTTAATTTCTATTGTAATTTTCCTTTTAGAGAAACGGTTTCCCATTAAGATCGCGTATGCCGAGTACCAGCAACATTTAACTAGCGACAACATGCTGCGAGTGACTGCTCTGTGTCAAGTAGAAGGTGGGATTGAAGTGGTGGTGGAAAGGAACATTGTTCTGGAGAACCCTCAGCTTGTCATGCAGGTAAAGATCTGCCCCTTTGCCACTCAGAGAGGAAGAGGGCGTCAGCTGTGCTGGACAGCTAATCTGATTCTAAATTCAGTGCTGGGGAAGGTGAAAGGAAAAGGAGATTCAGACTAGATTCCTGCCTTTCCCATTGGGAGAGATGCTCGGTGTTCATCCTGCCTTAGGGGGATGTCATAAGAGTGCCAAACCTTTGTTGTTATGATTCAACATTTTCGGCTTTAGAGCGTGATCATGCAAGTGTTTGGCCTCTGCAGGTGGTCGGTGATGCCAAGGTGAATGAACCAGTGAATGTGGAAGTGATATTTACCAATCCTCTCGACCAAGAGGTGAAAGACTGCACCCTGCAGGCAGAAGGCAGCGACCTGCTCAAAGAAAAGCTCAAGATAGAGTAAGTCAAAGGAGCATCAACGTCCTGTCAGAAAAGTCACAGATAACAGGAGTTAGGGGTTGGTGTTTTGGAAGCTGATGTTGGCATGGCTTTTTCTTCTGGCTATAACCAGGGAAGTCTGTAGAAAATGAGACTTAAGAAACCAAACACTTGATTTTTAACAAGGCCTCAACTCAACTTTGCTTTGGGCCCTGCAGTTGGTAAGAGGTTCCAATAACTGTGAGCACATGTTGGTGCTATTTATTCACCAGTTACCTAATTGCACTCACGTATCAGATACAAGTCTAAATGATAAAAGTGGGGTGAACGTTCACTGACAATGAGACCCTGATAGCCAGTCTGCAGGAGCAATCTATTAAACATTGTGGCTAGGCTTGTAGGCCAGATCACATCCCACTGTACAATGCATGACATAGAATGAGTTTCTACTCAAACAAGTTGTACCTTACTAAACTGCTAGAGTTCTTTGAGGGGTCAAACAACATGTGGACAAGGGGAATCCAGTGGATATAGTGTACTTGGATTTCCAGAAAGCCTTTGATGAGGGGTTGTTTGACCCCTCAAAAGCTCTTAAGTAAAGTGTCATGGGATAAGAGGGAAGATCCTTTTGTGGATCGATAACTGGTTAAAAAAGACAGGAAACAAAGGGTAGGAATAAATGATAAGTTTTCCGAATAGAGAGAGGTAATTAGTGGGGTCCCCCAAAGGTCTGTTCTGGGACCAATCCTATTTAACTTACTTATAAATGATCTAGAGGAAGGGATAAACAATGAGGTGGCAAAATTTGCAGATGATACCAAACTGCTCAAGATAGTTAAGACCAAAGCAGACTGAAGAGCTTCAAAAAGATCTCACCAAACTAAGAGGCTGCGTCCAGACTGGCATGATTTTGCGCAAATACTTTTAACAGAAAAGTTTTTCCGTTAAAATTATTTCCGCAAAAGAGCGTCTAGATTGGCACGGATGCTTTTGTGCAAAAAGTGCTTTTGCACAAAAGCATCCGTGCCCAGTACCGTATAGACGCGCTTTTGTGCAAGAAAGCTCCAATGGCCATTTTAGCAAACGGGCTTTCTTGCACAAAAAATTAAGGTGCCTGTCTACACTGGCCCTCTTGTGCAAGTATTCTTGAGCAAGAGGGCTTATCCCTGAGTGGGAGTGTCAATGTATTTGCGCAAGAAGCACTGAATTCTTACATTAGAACGTCAATGCTCTTGTGCAAATTCAAGCAGCCAGTGTAGACAGCTGGCAAGTTTTTGCGCAAAAGCAGTCACTTTTGTGCAAAATCTTGCCAGTCTAGATGCACCCAGTGATTGGGCATCAAAATGGCAAATGAAATTTAATGTTGATAAAGTAATGCACATTGGAAAAAATAAGTAATATGATGGAGACTAAATTAGCTACAACTACTCAAGGGAGAGTTTTTGGAGTCACTATGGATAGTTCTCTGAAAACATCCACTCAGTGTGCAGTGCCAGTCAAAAAAGCAAATAGAATGTTAGGAGTCATTAAAAAAGGGATAGAGAATAAGTCAGAGAATATCTTATTGCCTCTATATAAAACCCTGGTACACCCACATCTTGAATACTGCGCCTCATCTCCAAAAAGATAGATTGGCATTGGAAGATTCAGAAAAGAGCAATAAAAATGATGAGGGGTTTGGAATAGGTCCCATATGAAGAGAGATTAAAAGGACTTGGACTTTTCATCTTAGAAAAGAAGAGACTAAGGGGTAATATGATAGAGGTCTATAAAATCTTGACTGGTGTGGAAAAAGTGACTAAGGAAAAGTTATTTACTTATTCCCACAATAAAAGAACGAGGGGTCACCAAATGAAATTAATAGGCAGCAGGTTTAAAACAAACAAAAAGAATTTTTTTTCCCCACTCGATGCACTTTCAACCTGCGGAACTCCTTGCCAGACAATGCAATGAAGGCTAGAACTTTAACAGGGTTCAAAAAATAGCTAGATAGATTCATGGAGGTTGGATCCATCAATGATTATTAGCCAGGATGGATAAAGATGGTGTCCCTAGTCCCTGTTTGTCCGGAAATGGATGACAGGGGAACAATCACATGAGGATTACCTGTTGTGATCCCTCCCTCTGGGGCACCTGGTATTGGCCACTGTCGGATTGGACACTGGGATAGATGGACTTTTGATCTGACCCAGGATGGCCGTTCTTATGTTCTTACCTGTTAACCTTGGAATGAACTGTGTATACAAATCTGAGTACTTGTCCCTCTCTCTGATTTTCACCCATATCAAGTAGGTTGAGGTGCAAGTATGCAGATTTGTGCCTGCATTTTTCAGACAGAAGTTGCACCTTCAGAAGGCCATACATCTGAATATGTACACCCATTTATATACACAAAATATTCCAAGCAACAAGTATATAGGAAAACTGTTAATACAAAGAGGTTTCATTAATTCAGATCTAAATTTTTAGATGCATATCACAATTTTTAGAAGGGTTAAGACTTTGAAAGCTATACCATTTGGTTACACAGAGATAGAAATAAATTAATTATGAATAGAAGGAGTGGTGAATATTGAGGTAGGTTTTTTTTTTTTTTTTTTTTTTTTAAAGAAAAGACTATTTCTTATAAATAAGAACCACTGGCATATGTGATTTTTCAACCTTGGTTTTGAATTTCAAGAAATGTCATTGTTTTGGAAGATGTAGAAATACAATGGGGTTGAATCAATACATTGCAACTCTTACTCATTAGAGAGTGCTACTGATAGATGAGGAATGGGACAGCACTATAAGGGTGTGTCTAGAGAGATTATTTAAATCGCGGCTTCATTTCCCTCTGCCGATCTGTCTAATCTACATGTCTCCGTCAACAGAGGCATGTAGTCTAGACACACCCTAATAGTGGTATTTCACAGTAGAATCAGGAAAACTAAATTTGAAACCAGACTTCCATTTGGCCTTCACAGAATTGCACGCACAAAATTCTACATATATTTGGCATCTGCAAATGCCTGCCAACAGTTCTGTTGTCTATGCTCTTTCGTCTAATACCTGTATGTAAATGTAAGTAAAAATGTTAACAAAACTGAATAATTTGTGTCAGGTTATTTTTGGTTAAGTTATTGACATGCTTTTATATACTTAACTCTGCCTGAATGAAGCTTGACCCAGAACTATACAAAGTATGCTTGATTCCTCCGTGTCATCGCTGAAGGGGATACCGATAGCAGGGCTCTCCAAAATGGCCCAAGGGAGCTAAGTACCCAACTCCCAAGTCAGCATTGGACATCTAACTCTCTTAGGCCCCTTGGAAAGTCCAGTAAATAGCTTCTGCTGGTAGAAATGGATAGGGAGGATGGCTGGCGGGGAAACTAAAATATAAAGTGCAAGGATGTTCTCAACTGATATTTCCCCTTCTGTTTTGGTTTTTAGAATGCCCCCACTAAAGCCCAAGCAGAGCTCCAAAGTGCCGTTTGAGATCTTTCCCACCAAGACTGGAACCAAGCAGCTGCTCGTTAATTTCTCCAGTGACAAGTTTCCGGATGTCAAAGCCTTTGAGACCATAAATGTGGCCAACTGATTGTAAGATGTGCAGTGGTCAGTTTGGTTGTGTAATCTTGAGAGAAATCATGCAAGAAAGCTCCTATCTTCTATGAACAATTATTAACCAATTTACTTCTGCAATAGAAACAAAAACCATATCCTAACAGAAAATGTTACATAGTTATACATTTGAATATGCAATGAAGCAGAGATTCTTCACATAGTAGTGTAAATGTTCATATTTTAAATATACTGTCTGAACATCTCTCCCAATCGTGTGTCTGGTTTTCTTATGCCTTTTTTCATTTAGACACTATTCCCCGAGGCTCCAGGTATTGAGAATCCCCTATCAAAGTCAGACCCTCATGGAGGGAGCTACAGTAAAAGTTTGTACCATTTTAACATTAAAGGGTGTTTTCAGTCTCTTTATGTGATAGGTAGGTATCATGACTTGTACTGTGTGGAAAGGACAGGATATTACAACTGTTTAAGCCACCCTTTGAAAAAGTTCTACAAAATTTAATAGGATAGAAACCAACAGAGTTCTACAGAAATTACTCTAAAATATATAGAGAATAATATGATCCTTTTTTCTGGCTTTTAAACCAGTCTGCAGAATTCTATCACAGGCTTATACATTTCTATTAAGTTCGGTACTAGTTTTTCTACAGGCCATTCACCAATAAGGAGCTAAAGTCCTACACTTATAAGCATGGGGCACTCGCTGTCCCAGCCCTGCCCCTTCTGTCTGAGGGCCTGCTCCTTCTGGGAGCGAGGAGCCGCCCCCCGCCCCATAGACACACACCTTGCCCAGGGTTCTGGTATGGCTGTCAGCTCCCTGGCTACAAACAGGCCTATTGAAAAGACTGTATCCTTTTTGTGTGTAACCCTTCTGCGGGGTAGGCCTGGCAGCAACCAGGGCCGGGTTCAATATCTAGGTGTCCATCTCACACAGAACCGGCTCGAGCCACCACCCAGTAACCTGGGAATTTCACACACCCCTGGGTGCCTCTGAGAGGCAATGCTTCCACACTCGCAAGCACAAAGTCCGAGTGTAGGAAAGAAACATTTAATGAAACAGAGAGAGAAGTCATACAGCATTAACTTGGGAAAATACCACAAACAGAGTTCATAGCCCAGACATGAGCTAAGCCCTCCCGCCCCTCAGCCAAGAATTACCCAAAATCCCAAAGTCCGACACCCCAAAAGTCTCTGTCCCTGGTCAGTGCCACCCAAAGTCCAAAAGTTCACCTGCAGGGTTTTACCTCCCAACCTGGGTAGAAATGGGGGTGGGGGGATAGATAGGGGCACCTTATGTGGTCCGAGGCCGATGGCCCCACCTCTCCGTAGGGTTCTGGCCCCACGCTCCACCAGCCATCTTGTCCCACTCAACCAGATGCTCCGCTGGTTGCCTGCCACTGCTCCTCACCTGCCGCCGCTCCCACTGGCCACTCTGCTGGCTGCCACCGCTTCGCTGGCAGCAATGGGTCTGGCTCCCAGCCAAACCAGTGATTTCAGCTCTTAGGCTGTGTCTGCATTGGCTGCTTTTTTGCAAAAACATGCTGCCTGTCTACACTGGCGGGGAGTTCTTGCGCAAGAACACTGTGTGACGTAGTGGGGGGTACCTTGCTGGTTGCTACGCTGGCAGTAGGCTGTGAGTGACCTCCACTGGCTGGTGTTTTCCAGGAGCTTCGAACCTGTCTGACCAGTTATCTCCCAGGGAGCGGAACAATGGGAAGAAGGGGAGTGGAGGCCTGGCTGGGGGCAGAGCTGGAAGTGAGTGAGATTGGTTTCTGGCTAGTATCATGGAGGAAGCAGCCTAGGCAACGGGCTGGGATTTAGGGGCCCAGTCTCCCCCATCTCAAGGGGGGGCTGAGGCATCCTATGCCTGTCCTGTAACCAGATTACATCTGTGCTGTATCCTGGAGAAGCAATAAACTCCCTCTATTCTTCTGGCTGATGGAGTCTGTCCGTGCCATTACGGGGGTGCAGGAGACGGGAAGACCCCCAACGCGCCGTCACACACTGACATTCTAATGTGTGAAATCAATGCTTCTTGCGCAAGAACTATGATGCTCCCGTTCAGGAATAAGCCCTCTTGCGCAATTGTTCTTGCACAAGAGGCCAGTGTAGACAGGCAACATGAATTTCTTGTGCAAGAAAGCCCGATGGTTAAAATGGCCACCAGAGCTTTCTTGCACAAGAGAGCATCTACACTGGCATGGATGCTCTTGCGCAAAAGCATATGCCAGTGTAGACGCTCTCTTGCGCAAATACTTTAACGCAAAAACTCTTGTGTTAAAAGTATTTGCGCAAAATCTTGCCAATGTAGACGTAGCCGGGGAAAAGGGGCAGGTTGGGCCAATCTTACAGCTCACACCTGACAGGTGTGAAGCAGGCTAACTCAAGCCCTTCAACCCTTCCCCCCAGCTCAGTTCACTCAACTCTGGAAGGAGGGAGGCTTGTTCCTCGGAGTCCTCTTACAATCATGGTGTCTTTCCTGCAAACACTGGTGGCATGTTTTACAGTTCCCACATTTAGGGATAGCATGATTTGTGACCCCCACAACAGCCCCAAATTATTTACAATTCACTACATTCCATTCCAACACTGATTCTCCATCAGCCCTGGCAGAATTGGATGTACACAGCCACACCTTGGATTCCTTCCCCCTCCTGGCATGAGCTGTATTTACATATCAACAGTTAACAGTTCATTATCTTGCAGAGCTAAACAATTGTAGTGGGCACCCCCAGGGCAGCTCTCTCCTTTTAGCTGGCTGATAGCAAGCAGCAGTTCAGCCCCTGCTTACCTATGGAGATATACTCTCCTATAGAACTGAAAGGGACCCTGAGAGCCAGAGCTCACAGCTCTAGTCCCACAGACGGGGACAAAGGCTCAGCGTGGGGCCAGAAACAAGGGATTCAGAGCATGGGAGGGGCTCTGGGCTGGGGCAGTGGCTGGGATGTGAGACGGGGTGAAGACTCTGGACTGGGGGTTGTGCATGCTGGGAAGGAGCTGGGTGCAAGAGGGAGATCTGACCTGCTGCAGGTTGGTTGGAGCAGAGGTTCCGGATCTGGGAGAGCTGGGGGTGCAGGAGGGGATGCTGACCTGAGGCAGGTGGCGCTTACCCAAAGCAGCCCCTGTTGAGCAGCACACTTGGGCGCTAACCCACGTTTCCTGCACGCCCTGGCCCCAAGCCACTCCAGAATGTGGCCACCATGTCTGGCCCCTGAACAGACACACCCAGCCACCGATTCCACCACCTAAGCTCCCGTGGGCTGCACTGCCCAGCAAATAGGAGGTGCAGAGCCAGCACGCAGAGCTGCACTGGCTGCCCTTGCGCTTAGTGATGGCAAGACACACTGGGGCTTCCTGACTGTGGGACACAATGTTGCCATGGGCTGGATGAAATTAAATGCTGGGCAAGCCTACCGACAGGAGGAAGGGGCAATTGCCCCAGGGCCTGGCTGTTCAACAGGGCCAAGAGCTCCCAGCTGCTGCCACCGCTATGAGAGCAGCCTCAGCAGCAGCCTCTGACCCCGTTGAACTGGCGTGGAAGCACCAGAATGCCACTGAGAGCTGGGGTGGCAGCTCTAAGGACTGACTGCCCTGAGACCCACCCCTTCCACCTACTGGAGCATAGAGCTGCCCTCCCCACTTGCCCCAGAGCCCCACTTGCCCCAGGGCCCAGATCCAGCCCATGGGCCAAGGGGCCCCCCTCAGCCCCAGCAAAGTCTACAATCACAAATTGTTTTCATTAAAAAACCCCCATATCAAAACATATCCTTGGTCCTTACAGCAGGGTGGGGGATCACTCCAAGAATTTGGTAAGTGGTCAAGCAGCAGCGGATGTAGGGCAGGGTGAGCAGGGTGGCTGCCCTGAGCCCCAGTGCTTCAATAGGCCCTGCGCCAGCACGAGGGGCTGACTGGCCCAGCGGGATACCAGGAATTTCCCGGTGGGCCGTCCACCCAAGGGCCGGCTGGTGGCTGCTGGAGGAGGAGGGGGATTGTGATGGGGTGCCGTAGCCCCACACTTTAAATTCCCCGGCTCCAGCCAGTACAGGCCATGTGGGGCTGAGGGAGCGCATGCGTGGCATGCTGAAACGCCCCACAACAGCTGAGAGAGGAGATGCCCAGGCGTGGCGTGACGTCACGGCCTGGGACTTTAAAACCGCATGGCCCAGAATTTCACCGCTCGGTTCGGCACATGGTCTGGAGCCTCGGCCAGGGTTGCAGCCGCATTGAAAACTAGAAGGCAGAAGGTGGGTGGCAGAGGAAGGGGCTTGTGCTGAGGGAAGGGGGGCAGGTCAGGAAAAGAAAGGGGATGGCACCAAAGGAGAGACAAATGCCAGGGGGCCAAGTGTAGACAGTGAGGAAAAGGGCAGGAGGGGAGGTGTCAAGGGAGGGGGGACAGGGTGATGCTGGGTGAGGAGAGGGTAAGGGCATTGGGGGCTAAAGGGGAGAGGGGGAGGTGCTGGGAGAAGGCTTGAAAGGAGGGGTGGGCATGAGGAAGGTGGGGATGGAGCAAGGCATGTGTGAGGGCACAGGGGCATGAGCAGAATGGGGGCAGAGAGTGGTGAGAGGGTGGGCATCAGGGAAAAAGAGGGCAAAGGGCACAGGGGCAGTGAGGGAAGGGGGAGGCACCAGGAGGGTGCAGGGGTAAGGGAAGGTGCAGGTACCAGGGGATTCTGGGGGTGAAGCAGAAGGGCAGACACTTACAAGGGAGGGACCAGCACCAGAGGAGAGAGGTATGGCTGGTGTGTACAGGGAGGTGTTAGAAGAAGGGATGAGGAGGGGTAGCTCACATGATCAGGGTAGGGCTACTGGAGGAGTGGGCACAGGGGGATGCCTTTTTTCTATTTTTTCTCCAAAGGGGGGGCCCTGCAAAATTGTGCTGCCCTGGGCCCCACAGAACTCTTATCTGCCCCTGCTTAAGTTGATTAGTTTAATGCAGGGGTCAGCAATGGCCACCCTGATCCCAGCCTGTGCTGGCAATCCAGGATCACGCCTCCGCAGTGCCAACTTCCTGTGGGTGGAAGGGAAGCCCTAAAGCTCCGTGCCACATTGGGCTTCTAGGGAAGCGCGTATGTGCTGTTCTTCCCCTCCCTCCAGGAAAAGCTGGAGCAGAGCCCAGGGCAAGAAACCAAGCGGGATGCAAGGTGGAGAGAGCCTCTCCCCACCTCTCAGGAGAGCAGCACGGTGCATGGCAGGAGGGTAAATCTTGGCACACCTCTTTGGAAAGTTTGCTGACCCCTGGTTTAGT